ACACTGGAGAGGACGACTCACTGTTCGAAGGCTTTGCCACAACTACCCCAGGTACGAAAAGGGAGCCGCCTGGCGAGCTAACAGCTGGTTACAATGAGCGGGCCATGAGAGGCCTTGAGGCGCTTCACGTTAACAATGTCGCGTCCTCGACGGCGCATGTCCGAAGATGGTTTAATGGGTTCAATCAAGTAGTTGACAGGGAAAGTACATTTGACGACGCGGTAGGGGCCTTCGTGTTCTGGCAATAATTTTGAAGATAGGCCAGTAGCAGTGGTAGAGATCGAGAGCCAGACGAGCACTCCAGGGAGGAACGTGGGCGCAGTAGTGCTGGTGTCAGTGCGAATGCCTTTTTGCCGCTCTTGATCAAGTACAGTAAAGCTCTTTGCAAGCTCTCGACACTCTTCAGCAAGCTTGGCTGTAGTAGAAATAGGCGCCCACTCAGACGGATCTGGCTTGTACGAAAGTATCGTGTCGATGGTGTGCGACAGGTGCTTTCTATATAATAAAAACAAAGGTGAAAAGCCAGTAGTGCTTTGAGGGGTGGTATTATATGGGTAGGTGACGAAGAGTAGAATCGAATCCCAGTTTGTGTGATTGGTGGCGACGTACTTGCAGAGCATGTCGCTGAGCGTACGAATGAAGCGTTCGGTGATGCCATTCGCCTGCCGATGGTAAGCAGCAGTTTTGCGGTGAACAAAGTTGCACTCTTTGAGAATGGCTTCAACGACTTCCGACGGGACTTGGCCTCGGTCACTGAGCAGTTCCTTGGGTGGACCGTGTCGCAGAAAGATCGTTCGAGCAGAAAGAAGGCCACATCGCTCGCTGTAGCTGCGGGGAGAGCGGCAGTTTTGGCGTATCGCGTGAGGTGGCACACAGCGACAATGGCCCAGCGGTTACCTGCCAATGTTAGTGGAAGTGGCCCATACAAATCGATGCCAACTTGCCCAAAGGGCCTGGCAGGGCAAGGTTGAGGTTGCAGGCCTACCGGTGACAGGTGCGTTCAAGCTTTGCGGCGCTGACAATCTGCGCAGGAGCGAACAAATGTCTGCACGTAGCGGTACATGTCGCGCCAAAAGTACCGTTGGTGAATGCGGTGGTAAGTCTTCGATACCCCGGAGAGCGCACATTGCGGATCAGAATGAAAGAATTCGCATATGTCAGAGTGCAGACTGCGAGGTATGACTAGTAGTCACTGGGAGCCGTCACCGTTGTAATTGCGCCTGTGGAGGAGGTCGTCGCGAACGGCGAAATGGTCGGCTTGAAGACGCAACGCACGAGTAGATGAAGTGAATGGATCAATCAGCAAGTCTATCAGTGAGGCAATCCATCAATTCTTGCGAAGTTCAGTAGCAATGGTATGAATGATATTCGAAGAAATGGCAAGGTGAGACGCTGAGTTGTGGGCAATGTCGTCAGGCAAGGAAGAGCGTGACAGGGCGTCGGCGTCAGCATGTTCCCTTCTATTGCGGTACCGCGCGCGAATGTCGTAGTCTTGCAAGCGAAGGGCCCATCGAGCGAGACGGCCTGAGGGATCTTTCAATAACAACAACCAGCTTAGTGCGTGATGGTCGGTGACGACATCAAATGGGTGACCATACAAATAAGGTCGGAACTCTGTAAGGGTCCCGATGATTGTCAAACATTGCTTGTCGGTGACGGTGTGATTAGTCTCGGCCTTAATAAGCGTACGGCTTGCATACGCCACGACATATTCCGGGAACCCTGGTTTGCGCTGCGCAAGGACAGCGCCGAGGCCGACACCACTGGCATCTTTGTGTACCTCTTTAGGAGCCATAGGGTCGTAGTGGCGGAGTATGGAAGGCGACGTCAACAAACGACGAAGCGTTGTGAAAGCGTCGTCGCACTGTGATGACCACGAATGGAGAGGCCTGTTACTTCCGAGGAGCTTCGTCAGCGGCAATATATTAGTCGCAAAGTTTCGAATGAAGCACCGAAAGTAGGAACACAGCCCTAAGAAACTGTGCAGTTCCTTCACAGATTTCGGTTTGGGGAACTCAGTCACGGCCCGAAGCTTGGCTGGATCAGGGAGAATTCCGTCCTTGGACACGACGTAGCCGAGTATTGTCAGCTGCCGAGCTGCAAATCGGCACTTCTTTAGGTTCAGTTGCAGACTGGCGTCAATCAGACGCGTTAAAACATGCCGAAGGCGTTAAAGATGCGTCGAGAAGTCCGGAGCAAAAACGACGACGTCATCGAGGTAGCACAGGCACGTGTGCCATTTCAGGTCACGCAGAACAGTATCCATCATGTGCTCAAAGGTGCCGGGCGCATTGCACAGCCCAAACGGCCTGACGTTGAATTGGTACAAGCCATCGGGGGTGACAAAAGCGGTCTTCAGTCGAGCGTCCTCAGCCATAGGTACTTGCCAGTACCCTGAGCGCAAATCAAGTCATGAAAGAATTCTGCTCCTTGCAGGCTGTCAATCGCGTCATCTACCCGCGGTAGTGGGTACACGTCCTTTCGAGTGATCTCGTTAAGGCATCGGTAGTCCACAACCAACCGCACAGAACCGTCCTTCTTCGTGACGAGAACGACAGGAGACGCCTAGGGGCTGCTAGAGGGTCGAATAACATCGCGGCGAAGCATGTCGTCAACTTGCTCGTTGATTACATGGCGTTCTGTGGGAGATACGCGATATGGACATTGCCGCAGTGGTGGCTGTGCGCCTGTGTCGATGCGATGCGTAACGTTGGATGTGCGGCCGAGAAAAGGTTGAGCGACATCAAAAGAAGAGCGGAATTCTTCCAACAGGCCCAGAACCTGGGAACGCTGGCCCGGCGTAAGGTTGTCGGGAATGGAGAGACCGAACACATCATCGGATGATGAAGCAGATGCCGAATCAGCAGTAAGCGTACTGAAACTTGAGCAGTTCATGTGGTCGGGTTGATTCATAACTTGTGCGTCTTCGATGGGTTCCACGCTGCCGAGACATTCCCCTCGCACCAACGTAACTCTTTACGGGGATGAGTTCACAACAAAAATAGTGGTGCTGCCGTGAGTGAGTTGCACGGTCGCGAAAGGAACCAGCAAGCCTTTCCTGATGAAAACACGACGAGATGGCGAGAGAAGTGCAGCGGTGTCAGAAAGGCCTGCGCAGTAGACCAACACCGCCGCAGACGAGTTTGCAGGCACTTGGGTGTCGTCTGTCTCTGACGAGTACCTTGCTTGCAGCAGATGGACTGTCGGCCGGCGTCAAAGAAGAGAACTGTGTGAGTTCTATTTCTGCTGGTGCGCAATGAATGACGGGGTCGTGGCGGGAGAGGAAATTCCATCCTATATGATGACGTCGTGAGAGCATGAAGGAATTATGATGAATTCGACCGCATACATCACGTCCTGAATCATAACGCGGGCTGTGCACATCGCTGTACGGTGAATGCTTTGGGCGCTGGCTGTACAGAGGGAGTAGCGTGGGATAGTAGCGTGGTCACTTTGCGCAGTAATCGGCTAAGTTTTGCGTCCATGACGGATGCGGTGGCTCGAGTATCTACAACAGCAGATACACGAACGCCATCCACAAGTACGTCTCTCACGTTCGACGGTCTTTCCTGTGGGGCCCCGCTGCGGTGGTCTAGTGGCTAAGGTACTCGGCTGCTGACCCGCAAGTCGCGGGCTCAAATCCCGGCTGCGGCGGCTGCATTTCCGATGGAGGCAGAAATGTTGTAGGCCCGTGTGCTTAGATATGGGTGCACGTTAAAAAACCCCAGGTGGTCAAAATTTCCGGAACCCGTCACTACGACGTCTCTCATATTCATATGGTGGTTTTGGGACGTTGAAGCCTACATATCAATCAGTCAATCAATCCTGAAGGCTTCCGCAATTCGACAGCATCGCAGCCATTGCCTCGTGGACTCGACGACTAGCTTTTTTGGTCGCCTTCGAGTGGACGTGGCCGCAACGGCAACAGTGAGCGACGTCGCGGAGATGGTGGACGGCGGGTAGACGGAGAGGGGTGGTACGACGATGAAATAGGCGCGGTTGCTCATAAGAGCGGCTTGATTGGATGGGAAAGTTGGGGGCGACCTGCGATTGCTGCACACGATTGCAGTAGAGTGCTACGTGACCGACGCAACCACAAGCAAAGCAGATGGGGCGATTATCAGCAGTGCACCATTGGTTCGCGGGTCCCATTCATGTCGCAGAACGCGATGGGCGAGCCGGCTGCTGATATGAGTGCATGGTGGGCAGCACTCGGGGCACGTGGGTGGCGTCGGCGTATGTAGGCGATACAGTTTCTCCGAAGGCCTGGGGCCTCGCGATGGTTTCAGTGTATTTTAGAAGGCCAGCCACAGAACCCGGTGGGGGCGGCCTGGCGAAAACTTGGGCGTAGCTGAGTGGCGCAGATGCAGGAGGCGGCTGGTGGTATTCAGGAACGACCTCCGCGATTTACTGCTGAATGGCTCGGGTGAGCGGAGGTAGAAGTGTACTTGATGGCTGTTGAGCATGTTGCGGGGAAGCAAAAGCCAGTACAGAGACCTGGCGGGCAAGTTCCACACGCACAAACGACTTGATTTCGGCGAGCAAGATTGTGTGGTCAGAAACTGCTGACAAAGCCGAGAGATCAGCATCACGTGGTGGCGGTCTACGGGTCATCAAGCGCTGCCGCCACAGCTCGTCGTAACTTTGGCATAATTTAATGACTCCTGCCCTTGTGCGAGGGTTCTTGGCCAGGAGCATGGTGAAGGCATCGTCGGCGATGCCTTTTAGAACATGCTTGATTTTGTCAGCCTCTGACATGTTCAGGTCGACTTTTTTGCACAAGTCAAGGATGTCCTCGATGTAACTTGTGAAGGACTTGCCGGTCTGCTGTGCTCGTTCACGTAAACGCTGTTCGGCTTGCAGCTTACGAATGCCAGGACGACCGAACACGTCAATGACAGCGGTTTTAAAAGCGGACCAAGTCAGGAAATCAGATGCGTGCTTGTTGTACCACATGCCGGCCACACCCGCGATGTATAAAAACAGGTTGCCGTGTTTACCTGCCTCATCCCAATGATCGGGGACGCTCATGCGTTCGTACGCGGCGAGGCAGTCCTCGACGTCAGTGCCATCCACGCCGGTGAAGACAGGAGGGTCGCGGATGCGGGGGCACCTGGGCATGGCGTCGGCGTAGAAGGAAGCATTTGCTGAGTGGCGTCTTGGTGCATGGTAGAAGGCACGGTACGGGATCGAAGGTCCAAGGGCATTGAATGCGAACTGAAGATTCTCGAAGGGCACAGCACTCTCAGCACTCTCCACCAAATTGTTAAGATGTTTATTGGCGGACACTCGTCGATGATGCATGGCAGCGACAGTCAATGCGGGGATCGACTCTCTGCACGAGCTGCTCTTCTTATGAAAAGGGCAACCCGCTAGAAGGCACTGGAGAGGACGACTCACTGTTCGAAAGCTTTGCCACAATATTGGGCGCGAGGACATACCGTGGCGCCACCATGCGGACGCATCCCTGTGACGTACGCGGTTGGATTGCTCCGCCAGCCCTTTCTCACGCAGCCCGCAGTCGTTTTCGCCTCTCTCTATTTTATTCTTATTCTTGTCGTACTTCACTCAAGGAAATCATCAAAATTCTGGCGCAGCCTATTTACTGAATGTAGGAAATGCTAAATAAATGTTCTGGAAAAGTTTCACGCTTCTCAAAATGCCTGACTGCCAGCGTGGTCTGCTATGACCACATATATGTAAACCACGGGGGCTGAGCATGCTGCTTTTGGAAAAGGTAACGACTCTTTCTGTACCAAATCGAAGCATCAAATAGGTATTCACGCGTGCTTGAGACAAAGAGGCTTATTTTGCTGAAAGAACAGTGCGCAAACGCGCTTCTTCATTCATTGTATAGGTTTGTATCTGAAGACGGGGCACAGTTGACACGACAAGAATGCGCAAATTAGCGTTTTCATTTAGCACACATAGCCTTACGAAGCACAGCGCAAGTGGGTTCCCTGCTTTGTGAGGTGCAACACAGCATTTTTACAACCGCAACTGTTCTGTTATAATTTTTTTTTTATTATTTGAAACAAATCCCGCAGCGCCACTTAGGCATTATTGCGGGGGGCACAGAGCCTCATAAAATGAATCCGCAGTCTTGCGGCCAACTACATCGGCTGGTAACGTGTTCCATTCAACAATGGATTGCGGAAAAAAAGAATGCTTAAAAAGATCCGTTCTGGGGTTGTATGGCCGTACTTTAAATTTGTGATCATGACGGGAGGATTGATAATACGCTTTTTTTAAATAATCTGAAGCATTAATGCCCGTTTTATTGTTATATATCGAATAAAATAGTTTTAATCTTAGATTACATCTTCGATCTTGTAAGTATTGCCAATTAAGTTCTCTTTTCATACAACGGGAGCTTTCAGTTCGGCCATATTTTCCCAGAACAAATCTTGCTGCCATCGACTGAATGCGCTCTAATTCATGAATATGTATTTTGTTAAACGGATCCCACACAGGACAGGCGTATTCTAGTATTGGTCTCACATAGGCATAATATGCGGCCTGTTAACTTCCTTGGTTACATGTTTAAGATTTCTTTGTAAAAAGCCTAGGGCTTTTCCCGCTCTACTTACAACACTGCCAATGTGCTCAGACCATCCCCCATCCCCAGAAAGCGTGACACCCAAATACTTATATTTGTGTTCATACCTAATAACTTCATTGTTTAAGATGTACTGATTTGTAAATCTATTAACCTTTTTGGTGAAACTGACGTGAACACATTTATTCGTGTTTAATACCATGTCATTATTTTTACACCATGCCTCCACGTGATTAAGGTCATCCTGAAGCTGGGTGGAATCCGTTTGGTCGGTCAATTCAGTATACAACACACAGTCATCAGCAAACATTCTAATACGACACCTAATTGTATCCGAAATATCATAATAAACACAAGGAAGAGAAGCGGACCGAGTACGGAACCCTGAGGTACCCCTGATGTCACCGAAGCTAAACACGAACAAGATCCACCAAGCACAACCTTTTGTTTTCTTGAAGTTAAATAGTCCGCAATCCAACGGCAAATGGTTTGATGAATGTTCAAGTTCTGCAGTTTTTGAATCAGAATAGAGTGTGATACCGTATCGAAGGCCTTTCTGAAGTCTAAAAATAAACAATCAATCTGTCCTCGATTATCTAAAACTGATGCTATATCATGATAGAATTCAATTAATTGGGTTGTGCATGAAAAACCCTGTCTAAATCCGTGTTGTTTAGGATTAAAAAATTTAATTGAAGTCAGGTGATTCATTAAAGCAGAAAAAAGAACATGTTCAAGTACTTTACAACAAATCGGCGTCAAAGAAATTGGTCTGTAATTTGATACGTCTGATTTAGAACCACTTTTGAAAACTGGCACAACATTAGCTATTTTCCAATCATCAGGAAGCTTGCCTTCATCGAGTGATTTTTTATAGATAACATAAAGGTAACGAGCCACTGCCTCAGAGCAAAGTTTTAAAACTCTTGGTGATATGCCATCTGGGCCAGTTGCTTTACCTTCGTCAATGCGCTGTAACAACTTCATTATGCCATTGAATGAAAGCTCTATCTCACCCATAGGCAAATATTGTTCTTTTTTATTCGTGACAATCACTTGTGTAGGTGGGCGGAAGACCGATTTAAAGAAGTCGTTAAAAAGTGTGGCTTTATCTCGATCCTCAATTACAATCTCGCCACCGTGACGTAGGTTTGGTGGGCTAACCTTCTCAGTACCACATCGTCTCATATATTTCCAAAACCTTTTCTTATTAGAAAAGTCAGCGGCCAGACTCTTAAAATACTTTTTCTTGGCTTCTTTCAGTTCCATTTTATAAAGTGATGTCAAATCTTTCATTTTATTAAAATTTTCAGGGGATTTTTTTTGGCAGTATCGGGAAAAAGCCCTCTTGCGCTTTTTGATAAGCTGAATAAGATGCCCCTTAATCCAAGGTTTCTTTATTTTACTCAGTTTATCGCTTGAGACGCTCGGGACGTGACGCCGAATGAGCCCAGTAATGCGTTCCTTAAACACTTGCCATAGCTGCTCAACAGTTGCTTCGTCTGCACTGCATTCAAAAGACAGAAATTGTTGCTCAAGACCAGCTGATATTTGCTGATAGTTTGCTTACTATAAAAGAATATTCTCCTAGATTCGCATTTCTTTGTATTTACCCGAGATCTTGTTAGCTTTGCAAAGACGGCGTTGTGATCACTAATACCGGGAATAACGTGTGTTTCATTAATGACATCAGGGGTATTACAAACAACAAATCCAGAATGTTGTCACCTCGCGTAGGACTGGAAACATACTGCATGAGGCCGAGCACGTCAGTCAACGTTTTCAATTCACAGTATGTCGCTGCCTGAGACTTTAAGACACAATTACCGTTATTCCACTCAGCATCCGGTAAATTAAAGTCACCAGCAAGAACGACACATTCTTTAGAAAATGTGCAGGCAATTTTTCTCAGCTGACGCATAACATTCGGTTCAAAGACAGGAGGCCGATAGAAAGCACCAACAATGAAACTAGAACGATTACTTTGCACTACTCGGCACCAAACAGATTCAGTTCATTGTTATCAATAAAAATTTCTTCGGACATCAAAGAATCCTTCACAAGAATGAAAACACCACCACCATGCGTTGACCGGTCTTTTCGATATGTTTGAAAATTGCAAGGAAACATTTCAGAGTTCGAAACTGCTTCGTCAAGCCAAGATTCTGACCCAATGACTAAGTCAGCGTTCACTGACCCAATAAGGCCACCCAGCTCATCAGCTTTATTCTTAACACTTCGGCAATTCATCATCAGAAGGGCAATATCTCGGGCACCTTGGGGCTTTTGTCTCACTTCTTTGTTATCGCGTCACGAACGTCTTACTTTTGTGACATCTTGCGCAACACTATCCCAAGTGTAAGTCCTACCGTCAATGATAAGCTTATCAAAGAAAGTTTCACTGTGTGACCATCTGCTTTTTTTGATTTTGCATATTCCCATAAGTGCTTTCTTTTTTCGCGCACCTGCTTGGAATAGTCGTCACTGATTGATAAGCCAGAATCTTTCAATTTGTGTGCATTTTTGTAGAGATCAGCTTTTTCTCGAAAGTTGTAAAGCCGTAGAATGACTGGTCTGTTCTTCCCCCGCTTCTTTGTTCCAATGCGGTGAATTCTTTCAACACTCATTAAGGTGACACCCATTTTAGCAGTAAAAATATCGTCAAGAACAGTTTTACGAAGTGATTCAGTTGTTTCACCAGTACTTTCTTTCAACCCATATACAACCAAATTATTACGTCTGCTTCTGTTCTCAAGATCATCGAGTTTCACTTGCATCTCAACAATGCCTGCCGATATTCGATCCACTGTTTTCTCACAACGTTCAAATTGTACACTTTTACCGGCAAGGCATTTTAATTCACTTTCAATTGAGTCTAACCTCTGATCCGTAAGAGCAATGTAGTCGTCGAGCTTCTTTCTAATTGTTCCCATCACCTCAAGTATTTCTTTTTGACCTTTAAGTAGCTCCTGCATTGCAGAATCATTAGGGCCCGGGTTCATTTCAATGTCCCCACTCAGAAGCAATACCAACATACACGCAGCATCAAAGCACTCGGCCACTCCATCACAAAAGGCTCTTGGGCAAGGCAACACCACCAGGCACCGGAAAGTCGTGGTGCATTTGGAATAGGAATGTTTTTTACTAACCTGCAGAACGTACAAGAGCAGATTATTCCGTGGCCGCATGCTGGCGGTGAAACCCTGCCCAATGCCGCTGAAAACGTGTGGGGCGTATCTCGAGGCCTCGCTTGTCGCTGTCGATTTGACTGTGTAGTTCAAAGCACCGGAAACCGAAACTTGAGCTGGCCACCGAATCCAGGAAAATTCATCTGTGCAGCGGAATTCAGGACTGCGCTGATTGGCGTCGGGTGACAAAATCACTGGCAGCAGGCTTTCCGGTGACCATCCATCCGATGATAACCCCAGGCACAAGGCGAGAATCTGCAGAACGTACAAGAGCAGATTATTCCGTGGCCGCATGCTGGCGGTGAAACCCTGCCCAATGCCGCTGAAAACGTGTGGGGCGTAAGAGTGGGGTGGTGGCGCAGACTGTCTTAGAA